GCTTGGAGAATGCCGCACGGTCACATTTTTGTGCACTTCACGTCGACGCTCAAGTTTCACCTCAGTTTTATTGAAAATCATTCGCGATTCTCGTCGCCCGGCTATAAGCATTAATACGCATTTCATCTTCTGTATTTTCTTTTCCATGTGAGGAAGGAGAAAAATGAGAGCGAAAGAAAGAGGAGATCCCATGACGGCTTTCGATAATAAACCTAGGACTACGAGACCAGGAGATTTATAGATCTGATATCGTTGCAGCCGAAAATGTTGCTTTTGTTGTGCCCGTTCGTGTCTGCCCGAGTGCGTCTTAGTTCATTAAATAAATAACATATTAAATAATATTGAATAATTCTGCCCCCTGGGCCCTTAAGGGCATGTATATATTTTCCCACCCTAAATTTTCAGATTCTTTTCGATAGAAAAATCACTTATGCCACAAAAAGTCGACCGAGAAACAGCTATAAATCGGCCTCGCGCCGCCGATCGAAAGTGAAAGCGAATCGCACGCGAGATTAATACCGACGTCGATCCCTCTCAAGTACCGAGTACTGGGCTCCAACGTTCCCGCGTACGCGAAGCAGATGAGACAGACGTGGGGGTAAGCATCCACGCCTGGGGCGTGAATAGCTCCGGGGCGTGGATGGCAGGCGATGAGCACGCTTTTACGCCGTTTCGCCCACTGTGGCTATCGCCTCATCTGGTGCGTACGGTGGCCGGCCGATATTTCGATAAAATTTCAGCGCCCGACCAGGCGATTCGCATGGCTTCAGGAAAACGAATATGATAAATGAATATTGATAACGATTATGAAAAATCTAATAAAGACAAAAAAAAGACAATAAAACGAACCAGAATTATCACCGAGCAAAAATATCACGAATTGGGAAAATCATTCAGGCGGAAGATCTAATAATTCGTTCTCAAATTTTGAGTCAATCTGACAATGTTACATACAGTATGTATATTTACTGTATTCTGGGACTTTAAAAAAATTAGGATTAGGATTAGGATTACATAATCTTGGATAATCGTAAATCTCTTCTAGTCTCCGTTTCTCTAGCGACTTCTAAGAGCGACGTTTCGACATTGAAACAAGTACTTGATGAAGGTTCTGTTATCGTTACGTTACGAAAGAGGGCGTGGGCGTTCCTCGGTGCACCGCCCACGCAGTCGTGAAATCAGACTCGGATCCTTCACGCTTCATCGGGGAGGCCTTTCGCAGCGTCCTTCAACGCTCGCTCTCAGCTCAATTGAGGCAGACGGCAGGGTATATGGCAGGTCCGCTGAACTGCCGCTCGCACCGGGTCACGCATCTGTTTACACGGACGACCTGAAACTGTATGCGAGTAACCAGGGTCAACTTCAACAGGCTCTTGAAGTATTTCACTCTTTCACCCGAGACATCGGTATGGAGTTTGGGTTGGACAAATGTGCTGCTCTCCACCCGAATAGAGGCAGATGCCCTGAACTAGGCGATGATCTCCAGCTCGTTGACGGGCAGGTCGTCAAACATATTGCACCATCTGAGCCCTAGAAGTACCTTGGCCTGTCCGAAAGGGAAAATCATTGCGTGCTAGACATCAAGAGGGCCACGACCGAAGAGCGCCTCTGGAGAGTGTGGTCCTCTCAACTCTCTGGAATCCATGGATCATGGCTACTAATATGCTTGCAGTGCCCATCCTGTTTTACAGTTTTGGCGTCCTTAAGTGGACCAGAACTGAGCTGAGGGACCTCGACATCGCCACCCGCAAGGTCCTCACCGCCAATCGAAGCCACCACCCCACTTCGTCAGTTCGGCGCATATTTCTCCCACGTCATCAGGGAGGCCGGAGATTAATAAGCCTCGAGCATCTGCACGATCGCTTAACCCTGGGAATGGCCTGCAGGGAGATTCAGTCTGAGGACCCACTGCTAAGGCTCGTTTTTCATCATGGGCTCACAAGGAACAAAGCTTTCCAAATGAAAGCTGCAGAGCGATCAGTACAATCCTTGTCTCTGTCTCTAGACATCAGTAAGACTTGCAGCACCTTTCAGGATCGGTCGAGCATAGAACTGTCGCTGGCATATGTCAGCGCAGCGACACAAAGGGCCCAGCAAGCCCATCTTTTGCAGGTCCGTGAGGAGAAGACAATACACAGAAGTTTCTTACGAAACTTAGAAGACCTTGGTCTCTCCTCTACTCTCAGCCGTGCTTGGCTGAAATCTGCCGGCCTTCGATCAGAGACAGAAGGATTATTGCAGCTAGTCAGGACAGTGTAATCAGTACACCCGAGTTCCGACGAACCATCATTGGGGAAGACAGATTCCACCTGTAAGGCGTGCGGTAGAGCATCAGAGACTCTTTCCCACCTGTTGTCTCGTTGTAAGCATTAACTAATCTTTACATCAGTCTTCACAACAACGTTTTGCGCGTGCTTTATTACCATCTGAGACAGGCTTATGGGATCGGCAAAGATCCTACGATCCCATGGGTTCCTGCAGAAATGCAGTCAGTGGTAGAGCGTCCAAATGTTCGCTGGACATCACTCTATTTAATGTGGTTTCCAAGGAGATTTCGTGATGGAATTCTCCAGCCCATCGGAGTGGAATATCTCCCGCAAGGAGGATGAAAAGAGATCGAAATACCAATATTCGAGCTTCGAGGTGAACATCCAACTACTATGTGCACCTTGTCGTCCTCATAGAGGGATGTCTTGGCCGCATGAAGGACACGCTGATTACAGAGCTGGAAAACATACCAGTCTGCAGATCTGAAGCTAACTCTTTGACCTTTGGCATGCTGAAGACCGTCCTTTTGGGCTCCTTGCAGCTCCTCCGCATCCACAGACTGAGTTCCTCAGTTGAATGATCAAAATTCATGTAGGAGATTGCTAAATGTAAGAAGTATGTGCACCTTGCGTGGAAGGGGACAAATCGGTGCTGGGTCCCATAAAACCGTATGACTAAGCATTCCACTAGACGTTTACGTTCCCTCCAAAAACTCAAAATTCGGCAAGGATTAAATTAGGGTCTTATGTGAAAGACGACGGGATATGAGAGGCTAAGCACTCTAAAACGTTTCTGACGTTAGCTTCGAGTCTCAAACAGCAGCGGTTTTGAAACTGTGGGGTGCCTTCCGTCAGGATGCCTTCTATTTTGGACCATTCATCTAATATATATAGACGATGGTGACTGACTGACTGACGCTAATTCTAACCATGTTCTAGAGAGTTGAGAGGACCACACTCTCCAGAGGCGCTTGGGGTAAGTGCCCTGGGGGCTCATTCCAGGGGGTCTCATTTTCTAAGCCTAGGTTTAACTTTCAGATGGACCCCTAGGCCTAAGCCATTCTCAGGCTCCCCTTGCCTTCAACAAAACGGAAGGAACGTGCCTAGGCTGCTAGGTTTTCGATTCCAGAGAAAGTCTAACTTCGAATACCCAACTTTGGGGGTCCATGCCCTGGGGTCACGTTTTGGGGGGGGGGGGGGGGTTGGGGACTGATTTTGCAGGCCTAGGCCCATCCCATGGATGGATGCTTAGGCTAATACCATTCTCATGTATTTCTTTCTTCATGGAAGCAGGAGAGAAAATAAATAGCTGTATCATTCCGCGCCTTGGATGAAGTTTGACATAGAAGGCATGTTCCGTGAGGTGAGTGATTTAGCAGGCCTATAGGTAACCATGGGACAGACGCAGAGGCCTGCTCGAATCTTGCCCAACCCATTCGCATCGAGGAATTCTCGGCCCATCTTACCGAGCATCCTCTTGTCGTAACCTGACGCGCTAGACGTTCGAGCTATGCCTTTGGGTCATTGGTGAAGAGAAGGGCACGAGTTGGCGCGTTCTGGTACGCTTGCAAATACGAATGGGTTCTATTTATCTTTCTTGCAGGGAAACAGTGTATGTTCCATTGACATTTCGATATAAGGTTGCTATGTCTAATCCACGTAAGGACGATTAGGCCAATGCTCACACTTCAACAATAAGGCAAGGTATAGCTACGGGCTGCAAATACGGTTTATACAGTTTTTTCATCGACAACTGCATGGAAACTTTAGAAGAGTTTGAGAAAGGGACTGCCATAGAGTCCTTTCGCCAGAATATAAAATTAACGATGAAGGTCCCTACAGTCAAATTGGAATTATCGGCTTGAAACTCAGAAGTAATGAGATTATGTGTCTACTGCCTAGCCCCCCCCCCCCAGGTGGAGGTGTAGGCTAACGCCATTCTCATGAACACGTTCTTTCCTCCTCAGTCATTGAAGGAAGTGTGTGTTATTGTTACGTTATTCACTCTAGAGAAATTCAGACTTTGGAGGGAGGGGGGGTGTACACGCCCTGGGGACGAATTTTGCAGGCCTACTCCTACCCCATGGATGGATGCTTAGGCCAATACTAGTCTCATGCACACTCCTCAAAGGAAACGGGATGGAGAATAAGTAGCTGTTGGCTTGCATACTACAGGTACAGTTCGATATTGACGGTACTTGCCCTGATGGGAATGATTCAGTAGGCTTATATCCAACCCTTGGACGATTGCTCAGGCCTACAACGATCTTTAATATTAGCCATCTTAGCGTTAAAACTCTCAAGTGGCTTATGTGGTTCATATGGCTGCTTTTACTCCTACATTTTTTTGGAGATTGGACGCTATTAAGAGTGCCTCGACCATAGACAGGAATTGAATTCACCAACGGAACACTAAACGGCACACTTACAATTGTTAATTGGTGATCCTTATGCTACAAATGACATGGCGTCATTAATAATATGTTCTTTAACACCTTTACTTTATGGTGCGAGAATTGAACCCATGAACAAAGGAGTTCGATCGCAGTAGTAGGGGTGAGCATCGAAAACAAATGCCTTAGATCGCAGAGCGCCGAAGGCGCGTCCATAGCGAGTTTGTTTGCCCGAAGGGCAAACAAACTCGCTAGTTCATTATATTCATTCCCGAGCTCGTGCAGCTTCCCATACACTTTCGAGCTCGCACGAAAGTTCAATGAAACGATTTTGAGGAATGCCATTGACATGTGAATAATGAACGAGAAGCATGAAACTCATACATTCAATCTTTCTGAAAACATTAAAATCCGCCACCAGTCCCACGATCGGACGTTTCCAAGCCACACTTCTCATTCATACTCCTCTCCGATCTTGGCCTTCATCCAAAGCCACAAGAAATGTTTCTCGTGCGGAAACAAGATACTCAGGGAAGAGTTCGAGCATGCGCATGATAATATACATGAATGTAGAGTGGAAGTGTAAAACCCAGACACTCCCTTCACTCCTTGCATGAATATGAAAAAGAAATCATCCCGAAATCGGACATCCACCTGAAAGTCAGCATCCTTTCCTCTTTGCGACTCCGTCAAGCGCCGATAGTGGACTTGACCCATGAGGCGTACGTAGATGCTCTGGTGTAGCCAGCAGGAGCAGCCGCGCATGTATTGTTTTGGACGAAGGAGGCGATCCCGGTAACATAGGCACGACTATTGTATCTCACCACCAGGGGGCCACCGCCGTCTCCCTATTCGAAAGATGCATGACAAGTGGATAAAAGATAGCCAACTTGAATAATTCATGTCCTACGTTCATGAAACTTTATTTTTTACATAAATATATCATAATGTGCAACGCAAGGAAATATGGACATGCTACCTGCGTTAGGTGTTGAAATGTGAAACGTTTTATGAATTGAGACTACATGTAACTAATAAATAAATTTCTATCGCGATTGGGTGTTGAAGGAAAAAGTGCAATTGATACCAAAGAAATATATAAACATGTATATAAGTAGTATATAAGTATATAAACATGTGAATTTGCATATGTCCTCATTCCCCAGTCTGATCTGGGTGAAACGGGTAGGTAAGTGATGAGAGAGCAGTAACAACAGGTTGTTTTGCAATTGAAGCGGGTTTCACAACTTGTCATCGAAGAAACCAACTGAAAACCATGCTTTTCCATTCCACATTTATGAAATTGATATTTTACCCGGCAAATCACAGTCCTGGCTGATCAAACCATCTTTCCCATCGGCCAAATCACAATTTTCATGGAACCATGTCTAACAAGCCTTGCTTGTTTTAAGTCATATGAAGCCCATTAGAGTGTTAATAAAACATTCTTCCCATCTAAAATTCGAATTTACTATAAAAAATAAGATGCCTATATTACCGTGATAGGAGGCGCCCATATCGCTCTAAGTTGCAATGTCAGAACATCTGGCAACCATGAAGGTACGAACATCATGGCCAAGTTGACTGCATTGGATATGGAGTTCTTACTGAATTATTTCGTGTCATGGACCGAAAAAAAAACAAACATTGTTGTTCACATTTATTTTCTCACGGTGAGGTAGTAACTATTGAATCACTGTTTACCTTTCCAGTCTTACCTCACTGTGCTCATACAATTTTGTGAAATTAACAACTGCAAGACCTGCTGCATTAAAAAGAATTTTGATACCATGCTTAGTCACGCATGAAGGTAAGCTTCGGATAATAATACTCACGAAGCAAATCCCGCTGGACGGTGGGACGCCTTTCACACAGATGATTCTCCCATCGGTGTAGGTAGTACATTCACTGGTAACCGGCGTCACTTGAACGCTCAACTTTTGCAAGATGGTGGAAATAGATTGGTCGGTGGTCTGGAGGTATCCCCAACCATAGGCCTTCTGGTCGCACAAAGAGATGCTCGTTCCCAGGACGTCATCCGACTGCGGGTAGCAAATCGGCTGCATGGTACTGTCAAGCTTCAGACTCTTGCGTAAATGTATCAAGGCCACGTCATAGTTTCTCGTATTGTCATCTGTTGCAGAGACAAAGAAAACAATCCTCCTGGATCTCACTGTGCTTGGGATGCGAGAAAGTTAGGACTGACTACGGTTGAATTCTTGGAGCGAGTGATAACTCCTTTCTCTTAGCGTAGGAATCTTTAATGCAGCAGTTCTTCCTCACAATGGCTTCTAACCTCTGCTGTAGTTTGGATGAGGTATCCATCTGTCTGCTTTCGCGTCAGTTCCAGACGGCTGATCCGCAGTTCCCGACGTCGAATCTGCACTTCCCACATGGACAGTTACCTTAGTGGCGAAGTTCCTACGAGGGGAAATGATGGACATGCCATTTTGTAATTAAATTAATAAGTAGTGGCAATCACGGGAAGTTTCCCATCGACGCTCGGGATCGAATTTAAGACATTAAACCATCGATGATATGCGCATTGCCTAATATATGACATTGCAATGGGTCGGGTTCATGTGCACAAGTCCATGAAGCTCTTTCCCAGTGTCCATCATCTTCATCCGAGGGCACTGTGGATGATGCGGGGAAGGATATGAAACTCACTACATACCCTTTCTGCAGAGAGGGAAGATGAATGCATGTCAGAGGAAAACTCTGCTCGCATAGTGGGTGAATGGAAACAGGTGGTTATGCAGTAATGTGAACATCTTCTTTCAAAGGCTTGCCCTTTCTTCAACCCCAAACTCAACCTTCTTCCATCTTCACTATAGCGATACGTTTATATTATCCACATTCTGGAGACCGGAACAATAATAGCCTTTTGAACCGCTAACGAATCGAAATCTTTACTTTTGATCAGTGAATATTTTACTGGGGAAATTTCTGTAAAGGAGGAAACATATATGCATAAATGGGAGCTACAGTAAATGGGAAATGGATGGCAAAAGAGTAACAGGTGTTGAATTCCTGCAATGTTCACTTTTCTAATTGTATGATAGTCGGGAACATACCCTCTTTCGTCGTAGAGGCATTGAGCTGCCGTAAGGATCCACTGTTCGCTGATGATGGAGGCACTACACCCAACATTCAACTTCTTCATCCCCTGCTTAGGGAAACTGGAGGATACGAAGGCCATGAACGGAGCTTCCGTGATGGCAGCGGGGGATCCCCCGACGATGAGGGGATCTTCTTCCCGCTGGGTCCAGAACAGGATCCCCGTGAATCTATTCCAAAATCTTTCGAGCCAACTCCGTTGTACCTGTCTCAGCTCACCTATGTATGCGGCCTCGTCCCGTGCAAGGCTCGATGTTCCACACGGCGTGGTCGTCACTGCAAGATGATCCCATATTACAGTATTTACATTTTAATTTGGTATTGTTCCTCATCAAAAATGTGTCATGATGTCTCTTCGTTTGGAGATGTATTATTGAACTTACATTGGCAGATAAATTATTCCTTTTGGAATTCTCCCTTAGATAGTTTGGGACTCATTTTCGGCTTAGGGTTAGCGAAGCATTTGGATGGAAGAATTTGGGGAAAGAGATTGCAGCTATCGTTATTTCACAATCCGTTTTCACTAATGAGAATATTTATTAATGAGGACCTTCAATTTCGCCAAAATATTTGAAGCTTCAAAGGAAAACGAAACTGGGATACAGCGAGTAAGTTGCAGCGATTGCAGAGGGAAACGTAAATCTTCAAGTGCAGCAGTTTCCGCAATAAAACTTAGAACAGAACGAATATCCCCATGGAATAATAAATTCCTTTGAGGGGAAGATATTTGAACATTTCAAAAAGGGGAAAAAAATGAAAATGAGGAAAACCCTTTACCCAAGTCCACAGTGAAAAAATGGAAATATTCCATTTGATTCTCAGTGTTACCCCTCTCCCAGTTCCCCTCCAAATTGGGTGCCCGCAGGGGATGTACCTCCAAAATCGGATTTTTCTTTAACTATGCATTCTAATAGCTAGGTGTGTACCAAGTTTCAGATTACTACGTCGTCTAGAACATGGTTAGAAATGGCATCAGTCACTCACTCAGTCACTCACCATCGTCCATATACACTCTATATTGGAATGAAACCGCAATAAGTTTTCCCTCTCACTTCTTCGAAGAAGAAAATGTATGATAATGGTATTAGTCTAAACGTCCGTCCGTGAGTTAGGCCGGGACCTGCAACGCGAGTCCCCCCGAAATGTTCCCCCAGGGAGTGTATTTCTAATGTCGATATCAACATTCTAACAACTATTCGGGTCTCTAGTCTCTGCTCCACATCATTTCTGGAACTTGGCTTGAATTAGCAACAGTCACTCAGTTATTAACGATCGTCAATATACAGTATTAGATGTTGTCCTGTGCTTTGAAGCCCAGTTTCCTGCATGCATGTTAGCCTTCTGGTCATCCAGTTTTTCTTTTCCGAATGAAGACTTGTTAGAGGAAAACCTGAGAAATTCATAGCCAAAAATGTGTACCGAACGAAGTTTTCCGAGAGCGCAACGCTATTTCCCTTCCGTCACTAAAAAAGGAAGTGGCTCTGGAAACTATTAATATATAGAATCGGAAGGAAATGAGGGTACTACTTTGCAAGAGGAATGAAACTAATATTTTAACAAGTAGCATGCGATTTTTCAGTTATCATCTGGAGAGCGAGTGCGTCGATGCAGCGTGCATGAGCGTTAGTGAACACGCGCCGTTATAGCTACGGTTTCCTTGAACGTGCGGAGAATCGACATTCGGTGGGGAAGTTCACTACTGATTCTACAGTTTCTCTTTCTTACATGGGGAAGGACAAATGTAATCAACACCTGAAGGCCTTTACAGGTTGTGAGCGTTTCTGTGCGCGTATGCTGAACGACACATTTATTATTTATGCAGAAACTTTCCATAAATGCCTTCTTTCTAATGTCAACGTTGAAACTCGTTTCCCTTGATAACTAGGAGGATAGCGTCGAAAACGAAGTGCACACCGTCTGAAATCCTTCGAATTGAGTTCACCAACCGCCAACGATGATAATGACGTTACGCTAAATATGATATTGCTACAAGATAGCTTCTAAAACGGCGTCTTGCCTTAAGATGGAACCCAATGATTTCACCCTGCTAGCTTCACATGATTTTACGAATCCGAGAAATAAAACTGCGCCATGGATACGTCTTCATATTTGATGGTAGCGATAACGAAAATCATTCCTAATGCTTTTCATCTGGAAACGTCTCAATCATTCCCCAAGCTAACAAGTTTTCTCCTGACGAGCAAATATTTTCATGAACAGCCTCGTTCACTCCCACGACGAACCCACGATGGGGGTGTTCTTTCGCCGCGGTTAATTTCGAGGGCTTAGAAGGCCTCCACGCACAGGTAAATGAGTTTTGTTCTGCGGCGTTATTATATAATTGAGTTTTGATTCTTACACGAGAGAGGAGTTGGAGCAGAAGGGCAAGGCTGCTGAAGGCTTCCCCACGGAAGGAGGAGAAACACGCAGGCGACGGCGAGGATATCCATTTTGCACTGTGTCACGCACTTATTCCAACTGAGAAGACTTTCCTCATTCCCTTCTTTCCTGCAGCGAGCACGAATCGCGTTAAACCTGTCAGCCCGCCAGACGGATGGCAAAAAGACATCCTGTCATGGATGTGCGTTTCATGGATATCACGTACCGCTAGGTCAGGCTTTCCTTGTATTCGTCCTGGGAACACGCAGCCGGCGACAGCAAATAAACCGATAGGGCACGCCAGCGGGAGTTTCCATTTCTCCCTTTTTACCTCCCCAGTTGGAATCGAATGGAATGGGATAGAAAGGAATTCGTGCACTTATATCTTATCGCAGCCCTTACGAAAGAGTCTTATAAGAGTCCTACAGGAATGTGAAAGTATACATACGGCTTCCTAAGGGGATTAATTGGTTTCTGCTGTCATTTAAATGATGGCGACGCATAGAAAAATACATTTGGAAAAGGAACATCCTCGGATGATGACGAACATTTATCGTATAACCTCCAGTTAATATCTCGAGGAATTTGGCCTTCAGAGCTGCCGCACGCCCACAAACACGTACATTTCGCGCGGTCTGGCCAGTCCGCCTAGCGAGCAGCTAGGCACGCCCATTCCATACTTGAAACCGGAGGACAGATGTTGCGAAGCAATCGAGGTCCTTCGGTGAAACATGTGATGCCTCCTACAGGAAGATTAGAAGAACGAATAAATCCCATGCTCATCTACTACATTGCGTGATTTGTGAGCGTTTTCAAGATAGTGGAGATGATATGAGTAGTTTCCAAACAACGCATCATTCTGCAAACCCGTAAATCTGTATTTTGAGTGATGGAAACCAAACGAGGAACCTGCGATGATCGGTTCCCTTCCGGAGTCTATGAAGGCAAGCGACGACGAATTCAGAAATCCCCCGAGTTTCGTCACGAACGCCTGGAATCTCTTCCTTGACGACAGCAAGCTGGAGGCACTGTCGTGATCGACGCCACTGTCCCCACTGTTCCCTGACGAGTCCCGCGCAAACTCTCGTCTCCCCGTCCGTCCCGAAGATGGGGAGAGCGATTCTTCAGTTTTCCTGTTGAAGTTGCTCCACCCCTTATCGCGAGGTGAAACTGTTGATTTCAGTTCGCTAAGTCAGATCCTCGGATGCGAAGTAACATTTCTATTAAAATTCTAGTTCCTATCTTGAAGCGTTTGGCCGGTAGAGCTGTCACACACGCAAATCGTATACTTTGTATGTCGCTCGGCCTAGCCAGCGACCAGGATCGCTCACGCTATATGACTAAACTAGTGGTAGGTAAACCCGCTGCGAACCGAAAGAAACGAAGTGCTCTGCTGTCGTGAAAGGAATCGCCATGATCTTCAGAGACGACCACCCAAATAACACCCGAAGGTTTAATGTGCGTTCGATGAACTTTCCTTTTAAGGCATTGCCAACGTTGCATGAACGTCCTTGGGAACGTTCTATCGACTCCTTACATTTCAAAAAATTAGGATGATAAAAAATAGTGCAAATTATGCATTCCCTGAACGACGTGAATTCATCTTCTCCTAGCATTTGGCATTAGCAAGCTATAGAGTCGGGTCCAATTTCGATAGCCATGTTGCGGGGTCTATTTTCCGGGGGCGTGTAGCGGTGCGATTCCTCCGTCGAATTTTTGTTTTTCACAATGATGGGTTCCACGGTCTGGTCGGGATGCCCGCAGTCGCAGGGAGGATTGTCTTCCTACTGCCATTTGTGCAGGTGTTGTTCGGTTCTGGCTGTGTTGTGCGGATTCGGTTCAGCGTAATATATCATTTCCGGGGCAGGTGGAAGCCCGGCGGTTCTCTCATCGGATCCTCGATGAGGAAATCGTTTGGCACTGTAGAGTTGCGTCATTCCTTCCTCCACTCTTCTTTAACGTCGAAACACGACGCCATCGGGTCCCGAGCTGTTTTCCAAAATGGTTTCCGCGATTTGAGTCCGATCGGTGTCCGGGGTGTCCGGGGTGTCCGGGGTGTCCTGGGTGTCCGAGGTGTCCGGGGTGTCCTGGGTGTCCGAGGTGTCCGGGGTGTCCGGTGTCTCCGTGGACCGGGAGGTCTTCCTCGTCTTGGATGTTGAGGTACTCTCGCTGGCGACTTCACGCGAATTCATCATGAATGTGAGTTGAATATTGATAGGAAAGGGGTTCAAAGAACTTCATTTTTCGATATTCATACAATAGGCAATTTTTCTACCGCGTTGGATGCGATCTTTTCATCACTTAACCCTTAACCGGTTTGCCATGGAGAAATCCGGCAAATATGTCTGATGACATAATGGCTTAGATCTCCGGGATGAACTGTAGAATGGGTTTTATATTTGGTACTTGGAGAGCTAGAAAGCACAATAATATGTTTTTGAAGTTTTAACTGCCAACGTTACAAAATCAACGTTACAAAATAAAGGAACGACGTCATGTAGAAAACATGAGAACTTGGGAAATATTGTAGCCGCACTTCCCGCGCAGAATACCGTGATTGGCTCTTCCAGAAAGTGCCCTCCACTGCATTGCATCTCCTGTCACGAGTCATGGAAGCAATGGAACCTTTTTCGTCGGCAGAGTCTTAAAGGGTGGCCCGTGAAGGTCTCTATTTACGGCGAGCTTGGGATTTATTCATATATCTCATATATTTCCCACTCATCCAGTCCAGCTTGATTCCTTATCGTTTCATCATTTTCATTTATTCAAGAATCAGGCCCGCTCTGCACTAATTTTCCTTTTCCATAGTAGTAATTGTAGGCACGATTAATATTTTCCATTTCAATCCCTTTTCCATGAAGTGACCTTGGAAATTGAAGCATCCTCCCTCGATCCTTAGAGCCAGAATTTTCTAGAGACGCCTTGGACTGGGTTACCTCTTAAGACGGATTTTTTTTTTAGAATTCAAATACCTTCCCCTCCGATGTATGTAGGGAAAGACCGGCCACCGTGTGGGAGCCACTGGGGAGTATTTCCATATGTATAAAAAATTGATCCGCTTTAGCGACTACTTTGGCGCCATCTAGTGCCGGTTGTGCGAACCTTTCGTTCAAGCCATTGTCAGATGGATACCATAAATATGCTTCAGAAAAAGTATATTTTACCTGCAAGGAATGTCATACAACCACCGCGTGTTTTATTGATCAATTGACACCTTAACTGAATGCCAAAAAGGTGTTCATCCGTGTACATTGGATGTCCCTAAACCAGACACAAAAGAACAGGCTGAAAGTTCTCGAGAATGTTCATAAGTCACTTTGGCATTCTCATGTGTATAAAGCCTGCAGGACTCATTTGATCCGTGCTAATCCCAAGCACTCGAGCGTGTGAAAGAAGCTTCGTGTCAACAAAAGAGAAGAAAAAGAATTTAGTAAAATCCCAGAACCGAAACGACAACCCAACACTGAGCGCGCCGATGTGATTTGCCATGCTCATTTCATCCATCATTCCGTGTGACACCTCGGCACATCGACGGAGCATGGCGCCCATAAAGTAAAAATAAGAATTCCATTTTCTGCACGAGGTTGTAGTCTGAAAGCATTAAACCACGTGGAGAGCAT